ACACAGTTGTTTTATCCACATTTACCACGTTCTCTTTCTTTCACATACATTTGTTTTATCCACATTTACTACGTCGTCTTTTTTTCACAAACAGTTGTTTTATCCACATTTACCACGTTCTCTTTCTTTCACATTCATTTGTTTTATCCACATTTACCACGTTCTCTTTCTTTCACGTACATTTGTTTTATCCACTTTCGTTGTTTCATCTAGATTTATACATACTTTCTTCTCTGGAGTTAGGTGAAAAACAAAACAATGCGTATGTTAATTTAATAAAATAACGTGGTAACAAAAAATATTCTGTTAGCCTCAAGGATTAGAAACTATTTAAGATATCAGACAGTAGTCGAATATGATAAATGGGCATGCTGTATACTTGTAGCAGAAGTCTTATTGAAAGTATATATATATATCAATACATATTTCATATCAAGTATTTCATATGGACCAACGGTTATTAAAATGTTTTGTTTAGACGAATATGTCGGACTAGTTGTGTTGTTGTTAGTTTCTTTTTGTGAAAAACACAGTTCCTACCTATCTAATTAAAAGAGCAAATAGTTTAGCTTAAAAGTTCAAAGTTCCTTGATATTTGAGTTCATATACTAGATGGGTGTTTATTGAAGAAAAGTTGTATCCGATCATCAACGAAGATTATCTTTAAAAAAAAATACAGAAATTATGTTTTACTCAAAACGCAAAATTAGGATTTTGACAATAAAAAATCTTTAAACGTAAATGAATATCAAGACATGTGATGGATGAAGTTTTTTTTAAGGAACATATTTTTCTTCGAAACATGTTTTAAAGTAATATCATTTATTACCAGCTCTTTCAGTACAAACGAAGTCTAAGATATTCCAATTTTTCATCCCAAAACTGTATAAGGTAATTATCATATATAATAATTGAGAAGACCAGATTATGAATAATATTAATCAACTTTCCTGTGCTATGGTACGGTTTTTTTCAAGGACAGAATCCTATAACTGAAATGCCGTATAACCTGCCCATAAAAATTGTTCGTCCAGAGACTGCAATTTTTGAACTAATTATCAATGATATTCCTTCTGGTCATATACAGATATAAATAACTGGATAATAGATGAAAATACTAAATGCTATAAATTGGAATAACAAACATGGTTCAAAAGAGCATTTTATTTCACAAAATGTTTATTATATTTTATTTTTAATTAACACCTTTGCTATAACAAACAGGCTTACAAACATTTTAGTCAATTTCACGGCTGCTTGAAAATTTAGAAATAACTAATTATAACTGTTTGAGTTGCCCTTTGTAATTATTTCTTAGA